GTTCCGACTTACATACAGATTCAACTTAAGAACAAACCTACAGTCCCTATCTTGTACGTAACCCGGGGACTGCCGGTAGAGCCTCTGAGCTAAAAAGAAAAAAAAGAATAGAAAAGCAGAAAACTTCATTAAGTCCACTAAGGACATCACAGATTTTATTTATCTGGGAATCACTGATAAAATAGGGGAATTGCATGTTAGCAGACAAGTCATAAGGAAGTCAGATAAAACTTGACTCCCCTTCCACTCAGTTCCCCTTCCATTTCTCCTTCCTAAGATTGCCCTATGTAATGTTTCTCTGCATCTACCCACCTCTCCCATCTCACATTCAAAGGCAACATGCAACAGAAAAGTAATCATCTGCCTCTATTACAAATGATCAAAATATATATATACAAAAATCAAATTTAATAAAAAAAGTTGTTTTAATTTTGAAGGTTCTGAAGTGTTTCAGGTTTTTTAAATTTTCAGTACTCTTTTTGAAAATCTCAAAAATATCAAATTCGTTACTGAACTTCATTTACTAGAAACAGTTTTCTGTAAATTAAACTCTTCTATAACCATTTTAATGATGTCTACAATAGGGTTTTGGTAAATTTTGAAAATATAGATTATTTTTCATTAAGTTAACATTTTGAGTACTGTATGTTAATTTTTAAAAAATCATTTTGAAAAATGACAGTTGAAAATACTTTTCCTCCAATTTTTTTTTACCAGCTCTAATCTCTTTGCTGCTTCAAATTAACTATAATGTGAATACTATAAACATAAAAAACTTGAAAACTGTGCACCGTCAAAAAACCCAACAAAAAACACTTTTTCCACTTTTAAATTAATTAGATCTTCTCTGGAAGAAGCAGAGCCACAGAACAACAGGGATAGGAAGAGGCAGGTGGGTGGACATTAAGACCCAGTGGTGCTCCAAATTCTGGGGTGCTCTATGCAGCTACATATTCTGAATATGGGTACACACAGCCCTGAAAAGAAAAGTGAGGCGGCTGAAGGAAACTTAAAAGAGCTACGTACGTGAAAGATGACTTCAAAATAAATGTTCATGTATATGCATGTGAACATATGTATATGAGGTGGAATGGAATAAAAAAGTAATTTCAGCGCCCTGATATTTCTTTGCATATTGTCCCATGAAACTATCACATTCAATCTAGAACACCCTGCATGCGCACATGTACATGCATAAAAATGCATGTAGGAGACAGAGAAGGACAAGTGTTTTAAACAATACGCAACTTACCCACGCAAGAGCGTGATCCTCCTCTGACTTACATTAGAGTAAATCATTAATGACTAGTTTAAGTCATGGGGTTTCAATGGAACAAAAGTGAACTCAGGAGAAGGATGCTCATGTCTCCAGCCTTAAATCCGTTAGTATGCACTAGTGAATACCTGTGTAGTCGTAGCAAGCATGCATTTGTAAGTGTTTCTCTTCAGTCCTAGGTCTGTTGAAGCACTTCCCCATGAAAGCTATATCTATTGAGAGGAACAGGTTTGGAACAGTATCTCCACTAGCAGCAATCACAAAATAGTCAATATTATTTTCTGACATGCTGTGAAGAGAATAAAAATTCCATTCTTTATCCATGATAAAAGACAATTCCTATACCAAGACCGGTACAGAAAAATATCCAGAAACACACTGCCACCAACAGGTCTAAATCCTTGAACAGTCAACATAAAAAAATAAATAAGTGGGGCACATCATTATGTTACATTAATACACATAACAAGGAGATGCAGCCCTATTTACAAGGAGTCCTTCATATTTCTGTATAAATACAAGAGGAGATATGCTTGGGAGAGTAGTCCCTTTGAATTCATGACTTTTTTTTTGCAATTAAAATCTCAATTAGTGAATTACAGTAAAGTAGCTACTGGGGTACTGTTTCATGTAGCAGAATACAAGATTTTTGTTTTTTTGTTTTTTTACAATTTTATACTTAAATATGTAGCTTTATAGACAGAAAGGCTATAATACAAAATTAGACAGAAAAACTCCTTCTCATTTTTTAAAACTAGAATAAAGCATCACATGCAAGCTTACGCCAAAATGGTTCAGATGAAAGCGTGACTCATAGTAAGGCATACAAGGGAACCAGGAAACTCTATGTCCAAATAGTGAATCTAATCTGTCTGTAAGAGTAATTCTAAGTGAATTATCACAGTGTGAAAACGGTACCTTTTTCCATTCATAAAAAGGGCCCTACTCGACCCCATGTCAGTATCAAGGGCAGGCTACAATCTTAAAGGAATTTATCAAGATTAAGTAGTATTTAATCCCACAGTCTAAAAAGAACCATTCAGAAAAAGGAAGGAAGGGGTGGAGTATGACTCTAATGCCACAATCTGAGATCATTTAAAAAAGCCAAGTACATAGTTTCCACACTAAAACAGAGAAGGAACATTTTTGTGGACTCTAAAATATTGCAAAATCTTTTCTCTCCTTTATTTTTGTAAACAAGTCACCAAAGTGCATTTAGAATTATAATGGCTGCAAATGGTGTAATGTTTCATGTAATCAGTAGATTTAATTGCACTCCTAAAAAGTTATTTCTAGTTTGAAAGTAAAAATAAAAATAAATCCATCCTCAATAAAAACAACAATGAAACGCATATTGCTCCCAGCTTTTAAGAGACCTCTCAGTCAACCTGCCTCTTCAGCTTGCAGGATTTGTTTTCTTTTGTTACTCTCTAACTCTCTATAATTCTCTGACAGACTATTTCACAAAACATATCTTGAAACTAGACAAACCTATCAATACATGTTGTAATCCAGTCTTTTTAAAGAGGACCACAAACTGAAACACACACAGCCAGTCATTTCACTCAGATGAGTTGCAGGCCCCTTAAGCTATTATCTGGTCCCTTATATAACACACACAGGCTCTGTACTTTGCAGAAGGCTTGTCTGTCTATGTAAGACAGTGTCTTTGACTTTAACGTGAATAGAATTCATGTGCATTTGCATTCATGTAATAGCAGAATTGGACTCTCTTTCTGTACCATCCTAGCATGTTATAGTTATGGAATGCAAAGAACTAGTTGACGTGTATAATGATCAACTGTCCTAGTCCACCTGGTACCTATAATTTTCTGAGATACCCTTTCCATTATACACCCAATATACTGCACAAAAACAGCAGGTACAATTACAGTAGAGACAAGCTTCTAAAAATACATTAATAAAAGGGTTAACCCCTCCCCTCCAAAAAATACTTGTCAGTTGAGAGAAGAGATAACCCTCCAAGAAACTAAAATCTCTATACCTGTACTCCAGCATTCTGACTGTGCCCACAAACTGCCAGCAATAACATTTCACATGGGTGGGAAAAACTGAATTTGACTTTCCAAGAGACAAAATGTGTGACATTGTAGGGATAACATATTAATGTACTGAAAATGATTCCCCCAAATGGAAGTGACTCCCCATAATTTGTTCCCCACAACTTAAAGTGTTTTAGATTTATTATTAATTCTTATTATTATTATTATTTGTTAAGATTGTTAAATGTTTAGATTTATTATTATTGCCCCTTTAGAATATAATGTATTAGGTCATGTAACTTAGAACTGTTAAGAATATAATCCTATGTAGCCAGAAACAGCCCCCCCTCTGTGCTCCAGGGCATGCTCAAGCTTGTGCAAGGGGCTGCTTGAAATTGACATTGCAGAGATACATTGTAACAATGCATTGTCAAGCCACTAACTCTGCTATGGGAGCCAAGCCCTGTAATTGACTAAGGGCATTGTTACTTAATTGAGGCCTGTTCTCTTTAAAACATTGTAACTTTACTCAGCACTCAGAGAATGTTTTAAGCAATACCACCCAGAAACTTTTTGTAACTACAACTCTGATATATGTAAAGTTATTATTATACAAAAATATTGTATGGGAAACATTAATTAAGGAATGTAAGTAAGAGAGAGAGTGCTTGGATGATGAGTGAATGGTTCTGAGAGGTACCAGCCTGAGAATACAGCAACGAAGGGCTGAAGAAGGTGTCAGGTGCCAGTGCAACCAAAAGGTGTCAAGTGGAGAAAACCAAGTACTGAAGGTCCACCCGATGAGATCACTGGTGAGCACCTGGCAGCCACCCTGAAGACATCAGCATGATGCAGCAATTTCCATAGACTGGCATAGGAAAAAATTCCTATAAGAACTGTACTAAAAAACGATGGAATCAGAGTCCAAGGTTCTGCTGCCAGCCCACCAGGAGCTTCAGATGCGCATCTGATCAGGACTTCACTCCCCAATACCATCACTTGTGTACAGAGTACCTGGCCAGTATTCTGTCACAAGCAACTTCCAGGCTGGTAACTATAACAAATACACAGAACCTGAATGAATGGATAAATGAATGTTTATATTTATAAGGGTTAAGTAGTTAAACAACGTTGTTTGTTTCTATCTTTTCTTTATTTTTTTATTATTATCTTTACAATAAATGTGGCTTTTTGCCTTATCCCCCTCATAAGATCCTGCTTGCTTTTATTTGGTACAACAACATCAGTGTTTTTAATTTTGTTTCCACACAGAGAACCTGTTACATATAAATCAAGTTACCAAACACTGCCCGTTTACCAGTTAGGAGTAATCTAGCAGCATTTAGGAGAACAATATAGGATCATTTCGGGTAGAGGATATCAGCAGCTGCTTTCTGCTAATGTTACCCTTAGTCTCTTTGACAGCAGCCTTTTGGCAATGGCTTTTGTCTCTACTACTTGTAATATGTACAATTTGTCAGGTTTAGAATTACTTTATTTCTTAGTAGTAAAATATGTGATAATGAACTAAATATAGATGCAAACAGTAAAAGAATATCGACGGGGAGGCATATGGCCTCAGAGTAAACCTTATTTGCAAAAGGTGCACACTGAATAGGATTTTCAGCTTTGCAATTACTGAAATGAAATGGCAATCTGAGGAAGGACCAATATTGCTATAATAAGAGAGTTTTTTGACACATGCTGTGCATTCTGAATTCCACTGGCTGGAACAATGTCTGCACTAAACTGCTTCACCAGGCTGTAAAAGCAGTACATCAAGAATAAAATATGCAGATAATTCTTCTTTCCAGAAAAATCAGGTTTACCATTCAGTCTAGCAAACACAGTGCTTTACTGTCAAAAGGCAAAAAGCTGTACCTATTTGCTTTTAGTATGTCTCCTTTTGCTGACCATTTCCTCCCAGCAAACTTACATTTCATATATTCATTTGGCTTCCTAAAGATCTCATTTGTATAAATTATGCATCTGTTAATTAAATAACAATAATGTGCATAAAAATGTGCATTAACAGCAGTGAGGTTCAGTGGACTTAGTCTGCTCTTGAGAAAGGAGGAAGTTGGGAAAAATGTTCAAGACTGAAACCAGCATTATACATCTGTTCCTAAACAGGTAAAAAAGGTAAACCCCTTTTAGAATAAAGTTTAGTTTTGACACAGCACTTAGGAAACCTTCAGAGCCTTTTTCCAAAGCAATATTAGGTAAACTTTGTCTGTATAAAACCTGTATCCTGGTCATAAGCACAGGATATTGATTTCATTCCAAGATTAAGTAAAGGGAAGAGTGTACAGTACAGTGAGAAAATCCTTATTCAGATATAAATACCTACGTGAGTTACAGGGAAAATGCAGAAAATTAATGGCAATGTAATTTATTTGCATTAAAATGCCCTGCTCTGTGTAAGTTACTACAGTATTACATTCCTCCTTTAAATGTTTTTTTCCCCCCACAATGAAGAATATTTTGGAACACAAAATATTTATAGGCGTAAAAATAGGTATATAACACGTTTTCAGTCATTTCACAGCAGAAACATATGTCATGAGAGTTTACAAAAAAGTGCATCAGTCTGGAGAAAAACAACATTATGAACTTATGCTTGGCATTCACATTAAATTGATATTGCATTTGTGATTTGCTTTCAAGCACTAGCTGTGCATCACATACAGAGAATCTAGACCATACTCCACACAAAGTATGTTAAAATACCTGAAGGTAAGTTAAGAACTCCAAAATTAGGAAATACGGGAATGAAGTTTTCCTGTGCAATCTTATGCTCTTTTTATAGATATAGATACAAATATAGCTAGATATACACACACTATGACAGTGTTTAATTATGCAGGAGACTGGACTTGACCACCCGAGGTTCCTTCCAGTTCTGTTATTCTATGCAAATATATGCTATTTCTCTCTCACAAGACTCCAGCTCCCATCAATGCACGGAGTAGACAGTGCTCATTCATTTTCCCTCTATTCAATGTGTGGTCCCAGGGCGACCTTTTTTGCTGCGCATTATTCAAACCCTATTCTAAAGGCAGAACTTTCAGTTTCTTCATAGATGGTTCTATCGTGGATACAGGCAGTCCCCGGGTTACGTACAAGATAGGGACTGTAGGTTTGTTCTTAAGTTGAATCTGTATGTAAGTCTGATCAGTTTCAACAGCGGCTGAATCTGGATGCCAGTTCTGACTTACATACAGATTCAACTTAAGAACCCCAGGCATCCCCAAGTCAGCTGCTGCTGAAACTGACCAGCGGCTGATTCCAGGAAGCCCGGAGCAGAGCAACTCTGCCTCGGGCTTCCTGTAGTCAGCCGCAGGTCAGTTTCAGCAGCGGCTGAATCTGGATGCCAGGTCCGACTTACATACAGATTCAATTTAAGAACAAACTTACAGTCCCTATCTTGTACATAACCCGGGGACTGCCTGTAGTAAGGGAATGTCTACACTAGTAAGAAGACTGACCCTCCAGAGTTCGATCTTCTAGCATTCAATGTAGTGGATCTAATGATTATGGAGCATATCTTTGTGACTTCGATAAAAAAAATAGATATCCTCTTCTGATATTAAAGCAGGTTGGTTAATCACAACCCTTTCTTGGCAATTTATTCCAATGCTTAACCACCCTGACGGTTAGGAAGTTTTTACTATTGTCCAACTTAAATCTCTCTAGCTGCAATTTAAGTTCATTGCTTCTTGGCTTATCATCAGAGGTTAAAGAGAATACATTTTTCTCCTTCCTCCTTGTAACAATCTTTTGTGTTGTTCCGGGGCCACCCAGGGCGCCGCTACGGGACCAACCGGCAGCGCCCCAGCTGCTGTACCACAGGCGTCCGGAGCAAAGCCGTGGAGCACGGGGCCAGCGGGACAGCCCAGACGCACCGTGGCTGTCCTGCTGCCCTCGGGCTCCGTGGCTTTGCTCTGCTTTGCTCCCCGTCCTCCTGGTCTGCAGACCAGGGGGACGGGGGGCAAAGCAGAGCCAAGCCTCGGAGCACGTGGGCAGCGGACAACCCTGTCCGCTGCCCACGTGTTCCGCCGCTTTGCTTCCTCTCCCTGGTCTGCTGGAGACCAGGGAGAGGAACCCCGTTCGTAACTGCGGATCCGACATAAGTCGGATCCGCGTAACTCGGGGACTGCCTGTATTACAATATCTGAGTGTTTCACAAACAACAATGAACCTATTTTCAGAACATCCCTCTGAGACATGTGGGCATTTTTATTCCTATTGTACAGATAAAGAACAAAAGTAGAGCTGAATGGGATATGGAATTTTTATCCTACAGGAAACAGTTTCAAAATTTCTGTTCTGATTCCAGGGCTTGGAATCCCAATCTCCCCAGCAGCTTCTCAGGTAGATTGCCAAGGAAACATGGAGGCAGATGAACTGGCAGGGAACCAACAACGTTTCAGAAGCCTCCCTGGTTTCTGTCAATTTACTCAAAAGCATCATGTCAAAAGCACAGATATTCTCTGAGAACAAATCAGTATTTTCTGATAGAAAAATGTTCTCTGAAAACTTCTGGCCAACTTTACTCAAAAGTAAAAGTTTCCTTTAATTTTGGGTGCCCTGAGATACATGGGGCCTGATTTTAACAAGTGCCACAATACCACTTCCTATTTTCAAAGCATAGCTCCTTTTCAAAGCATAGCTCCCATTAACTTTAGATTCAGCAGAGATTGCTTAGCAGTTCTGTCAATCAGACTCAAGAAAAGCAGCCAGAAAATAAGGAACACAATTAGTGTCCATATGTGAAAAGTCTGCTTCAGCAGACTTGACTAGCAACAAATAGAACTCTCTGCAGACGCACGGATAGAATTCAGTTCTCCAAGGTGGCACTGAACAGCTTTAACCATGAGACCATTCTCTCTCTGCTTGCAATCCCTGCTTCACTCACTATAAGTCTCCTGCAACAAAAGCAGCTGGAATCCTACAGACCTCAGTGTCCTTCACTAAACACCATTGAGTTGCCCCCAGAACAGGGGTGGGCAATAACTTTAAGAGGAGCCACTTCATAAGTTTCAGAAGTGGTCATGGACTACCCTGGAGGGAGCAGGGCCTTGTACGGAAAGGGGGAGGGGGGAGTGGGCTTTAAATAGCTGGAGTTGAAAGGGCTCCCCAGCAGCCATGTAATTAAGCACCACATCACAATATATACACACATCGTGGCTGAATTAAGTAAAATACAGTATCCAATGTACAGAATGAATAGCATTTTATTATTAGGGCTGTTGATTAAGAGCAGTTAAGTCACAGGTTAATTCAAAATTAATCATGATTTAAAAAAAGTCATGATTACACACCATTTTAAATTGCACTGTTGAATACCAACTGAAATGTATTAAATATTTTGGATGTTTTTCTACATTTTTAAATATACAGATTATAATTACAACAGAATATCAAGTATACAATGCTCGCTTTCAATTATTTTTATTACAAATATTTGCACTACAAAAGTTAAAATGATAAACAACAAGACAGTATTTTTCAGTTCACCTCATGGTGTAATCTTTAACTGTTAAAGTAAAATTTACAAATATAAATTTTTTTGGTCACAGAACTGCATTAAAAACAAAATAATGTAAAACTTTAGAACTTATAAGTTCACACAGTCTTACTTCTTATTCAGGCAATCACGAAGACATACAAGTCTGTTCATGTTTACAGGAAACAATACTGCCCATTTTGTATTTACAATGTGCAAGGTATTTACATGCCAAATATGCTAAACATCTGAATACACTTTCAGGCTTCTGTTACCAATACAGAGGACATGATTCCATGCTGATGATGCTAATTAAAAAAATAATGCATTAATTAAATTTGTGACAACTTCTTGGAAGAGAATTGTTATGTCTCCTGCTGTGTTTTACCTGCATTCTGCCATATATTTCAGATTATAACTGTCTTGGATGATAACCCAGCACTCATTGTTTGTTTTAAGAATACCTTCACTGGAGATTTGACACAATGCAAAAGAAGGTACCAATGTGAATTTCTAAAGATAGATTCTTAAACCTGGCATTGAGTTCTGTATCTGAACTGCCTTCCAAAATCGGAGAGGGACAAAGTGCAGAGCATGCTTTCAGAAGTCTGAAAAGAGCAACACTTTGATGGGGAACCTACAGAACTCGAACCACCAAAATAAGAAAATCAAACTTCTGCTGGTGGCATCTGACTCAGATGATAAAAATGAACATGCGTAAATCCACTGTGTTTTGTATTGTTAATGAGGAAAACCCACCATCAGCGTGGACACATGTCCTGTGGAATGGTGGTGAAAGCATAAAGGGACATATGAGACATTAGCACATCTGGCAATAAATATGTAGTGATTCCAGCTCCAACAGTGTCATGTGAACACCTGTTCTCGCTTTTAGGTGACAAAACAGCAGCCATATAGGTCAGACCAAAGGTCCATTTAGCCCAGTACTGGGGATGTAAGCGACTAATCGACTATTATAAAATAAACAAATGCTTATTGTACAGCCAACAGGCTAGTTGACTAATTGCTTCCTCCTGCCCCTTGCTGCCTCTATCAGAAACAGGCAGCAAGGGGGGGAGGGAAGGGAGTGCTGACAGGAGCGGGCTTAAAAAGCTGGTTTCCTCCAGCTCTGTGGGAGAGGACGGGAGCCCCTCCCTGGGGCTCTTGTACATTTCAAAGCAGATGTGCCGCATGGAGTGGGGATCTTAGAGTCCCATGCTAGCCCTGGGCTCCATGTGATGTTTCAATATTTGAAATGCACAAGAACCCCTGCTAGGGCTCTTGTATATTTCAAAGGTAGCAATAGGCGGGCAGGCTCTTGCTACATTTCAAAGTGAAAGCTCTCTTATCGACTAATTGAATAGTCGGTAGAAATTCCATCAACTTTTCAATTAGTTGCTTAATCTAATTTTAACATCCTTACCCAGTATCCTGCCTTTCAATAGTGTCCAATGCCAGTGGCCCCACAGGGAAACAGAAACTGGTAATAATCAAGTGACCCATTCCCAGCCCATTCCTGACCATCCTGGCTAACTGCCACTGATGGACCTATCCTCATGAACTATTTTGTTCTTTTTTGAACCTTGTTATATAGTCTTAGCTTTCACAATATCCGCTGGCAAAGAATTCCACAGGTTTTCTGTTCATTGTGTGATGAAATACTTCTTTTTTGTTTGTTTTAATCCTGATGCATATTCATTTTATTTGGTGATTCCTCCTCCCCCCAAGTTCTTGTGTTTGAGAAGGAATAAAGTAGCACTTTCTTATTTACTTTCTCCATACCAATCATGACTTTATAGCCTTCAATCATATCTCCCCTTAGTCTCTTCTTCAAGATGACAAATCCCAGTCTTACAAATCTCTCCTCATACAGAAGCTGTTCCATTATCCCTAATGATTTCTGTTGCCCTTTTTTGAACTTTTTCCATTTTAATACATGATGTGGGTGTTCCATGGATTTATAATTCCAATATTCTAGTTTTTTGTCTGTTTTTTGACTGCCACTGCACACTGAGTGGATGTTTTTAGAGAGCTGTCCACAATAACACCAAAATCTCTTTCTGGAGTGGTAACAGCTAAATTTAGACCCCATCAATTTTATTGTGTAGTTGGGATTATGTTTTCCAATGTGCATTACTTGGCATTTATCAACATCAAATTTCATCAGCCATTCTGTTGTCCAGTCATGGAGTTTTGAGAGGTTTTTTTTTTAATTTTTTTTTTTTATAGCTCTTCACAGTCTGCCTGGGACTTATCTTGTAAACAAGAACCCAGTTTACCAATGAAAAGCAGCAGCAAGCAACAGTGCTTTCCACAAATGTAAACACCATTTTTTTCTGAGTGACTGGCTGAACAAAAAATAGAACTGCGTGGTATCAAAGACTCTAAAGTTTTCTATTGTTTTATTTTAATGGAGTTTTTGTACACAATTCTACGTTTTTAAGTTCAACTTTCATGATGAGATTGCAGTACAATACTTGTATTAGATGAATTGAAGAATACTAATTTTTTTACAGTGCAAGTATTTATAAAAATAAATATAAAATGAGAACCATGCACTTTGTATTGTGTTGTTACTGAAATCAGTATTTGAAAATTTAGAAAACTACCAAAAGTATTTAAATGGTATTCTATTACAATTTAACAGCATGATTAGTCACAATTTTAATCCCCTGTAGCCCCATTTATTGTATGATCTGTATATTACACATTAGACACTTATATAAATTGTAAAATCCACAGATAGCAATTACAGGATGGACTAGTTTGCTCTGAGAAAACTGTTTACTAAATTTCAAGAAAAAATTTAACACAACTTGTTAAAAGTCAAATTTAAAACAAACAGAACTTTCAGCAGTTACAGCTATGGAGAAAATATCACAATGGTTAATTACTTCAACACATATAGCAGTTTGATGGTAGTTTAAGCTGATGCTCCAAATACACTGAAGAGGATTTTCAACATTTGGATATGCAAAGCTTTGCACATGTGGTTATCATAGTGACTTATACAAGTCAGAAACTGAGTAAAGGGATGTGAATGATGAGTCAACTATCCGATAAGCAAATGCATACGGACAGTGGGCACACTAATAGGACAGTTGACACACTAATTGCTTCCCCTACCTTTGCATCCTCCATCAGAAAGAGGCAACCGGGGTGAGGGGGAGGGCAGAGGAAACAGTGCTTCAAAGCGGCAGTGCTGTGTGGAGCCCAGGGCCAGACCCCAGGCTGCATGCGGCATTTCAAAGTGACAGAGCCACATGGTCAACCGCCAACTCTGCCATCTGACCCTGGGCTCCATGCGATGCTGCTGCTTTGGAATGCCACGTGGAGCCTGACACCGGGCTTCTCACAGTATCTGAAAGCAGCAGTGCTGCAGGAAGCCCAGGGTCAGCTGGGGATTCAGAGTCCCCAGGTGACCTCAGGCTCCTGCAGTACTGCTGCTTTCAAACGCCGCAGGGACCACAGGGCCAGCGGGGAACTGCTTGAATCCCGCACTAGCCCCGTGCTCCCTGCAGCACTTTCACCTTTGAAGTGTAGCAACAGTCCTGGGGCTGTTGCTACACTTCAAAGGCAGGGGTGCCCTTATCGACTATTCGATTAGCCAATTAATCGAAATTTTACATCCCTAGCTAGGTACATGGAACTGATCAGTAACAGATCACCCTTGCCATGTGGATGCACACCATTTGAACATCAGGTCCCCAGAGTACATATGTTACACAAGCACAAAGGATATACTCACAAATCAAAGACTAGGTAATGGAATCCTTCTTCTGATATGCTGTCATGAAGTCGAACTATAAAAAACAAGAAAAAAAAAAGAGACAGATTTATCCATCTCATGGCTCTGTTTCTTCCACTCCACCCCAGGTTTTCTGATTGTTTGATACTCGGTTATATCCAACCCTTTTTCAAGTTGTTCTTTTTTGCTTAGGACTTTTCTTTTTGATGAGGGAAGACAAAATTGTACCTCAGATTCATGCCATACTTATTTCTAGAGGTGCTGTGTTATGCCACAAGATAACTCTGTGGTCACTTTCTAACCTCCCACCCCACAACACACAAACGCAGCAGCTGGAATTAGTAGCCTATACCTAGTATGTGATAGCATTGCTGCAAACACCAGCTGAAAATGAATGCCAGCCAACTAATTCTTCTCCCTCAACAAAGATTCTCTGACGACCAGTAATAGAAATAAGAGTGTACAAAGATTGCCAACTACTGAGTTTCAGCTGTATTAGATACACGATATTAGCAATAATGATTATTTTCTGAAAACCATTAATTAGAAATACAATAGAAAAATAATTATTTCAATTAAAGCTAGATTTCAGGAGAAAAAACTATTCTAAGCACTGTTTTAACAAAGCATTCAATAAGCAGAAACAAATACATGAGGGATTATAACAAGCAGACAAACAAGACAGCATTATATTCCACAAGCCTTTGACTAAGTGAGAATAATAATAATAATAAAAAAAAAAAACAACCCACCAACCATTCAAACCCACACACTTCAGTTAATATTACAAAACTCTGGCTTTATGTAAGTAGAAAGTAGCCAATGTTAAAAACAAAACTGTTGTTGACTATGGAGATGATGTATTGTGTTGTTCCTGTCAGTTTCTCAAAGTCTAGCTAAATTAACTACCAGCAGTTTCAATCCAACCCTCTTTTAAAAAATGTCCAAACAAATGATGACTCAAGAAATAAGTCACTGCACTCTCCCAACACAACGAATCAAGCCTTCCAAATAGAAATACACCACACTCCTCTGTCGCCAGAGGCATGTAGTCTAGACGTACCCTAAGTGTTTTTGTCCTTGAGAAACTAATGGAATAAGTAGACTTCTGATTGAAAAGGATATGGCTTGGTGTGAACCCATTTTCTCTCTACCTTTCGAAAGAGAAAAGTCAAGAGACTACAGAGAACACCATCACCACTGAAGCCTCTTCAAACCTGTGGGGACATTTACACTGCAATAAAAACCATGGGCATGGTTGCAGCTGGCCCAGGTTAGCTGACTTAGGCTCATGGGAATTGGGCTGAGAGGCTATAAAATTGCAGTGTAGAAGACCTTTAAACTTGGGATGAAGCTCTGGGTTCCAAGAATGAGCAAATCAGCTGGTCTCAGCTGACCTGGGAAAAAACAGACTTGGTGCCTTTTTTTTTTATTGCAGGGCAGATTTTCACAAACTGAGCAGTAGCACCCAAAATATATTGTCCCTGAAGTAACCCAAGTGATATGGCAATACAGGTTGTACCTCCAAAAACCAGCACACACTGGTCCAGTAACATCTGTGGTCCAGCAGGGCCATGGATGCTCCTAGACCAGAAAGCCCCAAGTCTAAGGGCAGGAGGGCAAGCTGGGAGAGGCATCAGGGTTTCCAGCCTGGCTGGGGGAAGCACAGGACTGGGGCAAGAGCCCTGCAGCAGCCTCCATCAGCCCCCAGGGAGCTCAGGGCTGCAGCTGGAGTCCTGCAGCAGCCTCCAGCAGCACCCCCCAGGAACACAGGGCCAGGGCCAGAACTCCACAGCTGCCCCAGCTGTGTGGGCCAGGGCCGAAGTCCTGTGGATGTCCTCAGCTGTTGGGGCTGCAGCCCCAGCCCCATGGCTGCTCCCAGCTGCTTCAGGGGCAAGCAGCCCAGCCAGACTGGGGGAGGGGAAGGGCTAGGCAGGGTTGCCTGTGAGGGTAGCCTATTAGCAGCACGCAATGGGCTTGGGTGCTTGTGACAGGAGACCTCCCCTGGTCTGGCAAATTTTCTTGTTCGGGACTGGTCAGGTTCCAACAGTGCTGGACCAGGGAGGTCCAACCTATATAAAGTAACACAGTTGACCTTCAGAACTCATTGCCAGCCAATATGATTCAGAACAAGAGCTTTGTGGGCTTCATAAATGAATTAGATCTTTCTATGGATATCAGAATACCCAAAAGTATTATTGATAAAGATTAACAAACAATGGTGCTGCAGGACCATTTGCTGTTTTTTAAACAAACAGAATGTTGAAAGGTACAGATGCTTCAGAGTATAAACCAAACTGTAACTAGTTAGATTATGAATAATTTTTTCACTTTGAGGACGTCACTCGCTAGTTATTCGGTACAAGATTTCTTGAACCTTCCTCTGAAGCAGTCGCTATGAGCCAATATCAGATGTAGGATACTGAACTAGATGGAACATTGATCTGATTGAATAAGGAAATTCCGGTTTTCTTATATTCCTAGAGATGTATGAATTTTTCACAATACAACCCTAATCTCATAAAAAACTGCTAACATTAGATACAAAAAAATTACATTAGTAGACACTTGGGACTGTGAAACTCACCACTAAATTAATATTTTCCAGTTTTTGGAATGGCCTGAATTTCATAATGCTCTATGATTTTATAATGAAGCTTGTCTGTGATACTGGTCTATGTTTGGGGGTAAAATCAACTGTTGTAGACCTTTGTGAAATCTTACAGTACATACAGTTTAATGAAACTCACCAATTACATTATGTTCGGCTCTAATAAATTGCTTCATTATAATAGTGATTACGGAACAAAGTGGGTAAAAAAATTATATTTGAAGAACTGTCCTGCACAATGGCAGATGTCCTCGTAAGCTATAATTGTATGTGTGCATTCTTCTCCTTTAAACAAACAGGAAACAAGAAGAAACTAGTGGCAACTGACCAGGCAAATATGTGGTAGTTTCTCAGAAATACATCACAGTTCAAAGCTAAGTTCACAAATTCTACAAAGACACCGTAGGCACAATACCAGGGCAAGCATGCAGAAAAGAAAGGTAACTGGTAGAATCCATAACATGATCTGGATATAATAATGTTATCTCCCTCTGCCCACGCCCAAATATGTATAAAGGATATAACTATAATGTGTTCTCAGATGTCATAGAAATCAATACTACATCTGCTGACCAACTATCTTTCTGTGTGTTGGGGGCATTACCCTATTCTCTCATGTTTTCTCTATTCGACTATTTATTTATTTTACTGCATCCAAAATTGTGCAAGGTACTTCACAGAAGACAAAAAGAGATATAGAATGTAAATAGTTTTTTTGCACAAATAACCTAAGGTTCCGGCAAACACCTACACAGATTAACAACTGTACACACATACAAAATCCCATGAACATCCTAGAACCCTTCACAGAAGTAAAGGTGTTGATGTGCAAAAGTATTTGCAGAATTCTTAGCTGTAACTTGCAAGGGAAATGAGTAGGAAGTAGATGGAGTGCAAATGCATAAACATTACAGCAATGTGGTCATGCAGTTAGTTGCATGTATCTTAAGCACATCTTGACTGTTCTATTTGTATCGACTCCAATGTGATACACTTCATAGTTTCTTTAAAAGTTATGAATATTCATTTAGATATTTTTTCCTCTGAAAATTTCTAATTAAACATAAAATAAGGATGTTAAGCAGGTAACTGACTGATCACCTAGTTGCTACAATTTGTATCAAACTACATGATTACTTGATAAGGGAAGGTGATCTATACTAGCTCACGCTGTTCCAGGAGCTACCCCTGCTGCAGCTCTGCAGTTTAACTGTAGTAGGAGCCAGGTGCACAGGCAGTCCAGCTCCTACTACATTTAAACTGCAGAGATGCAGTGGGGGTAAGTTCTAGACCTGTGCGAGCCAGGACTGCAGAGCCTCTGCATTTTAAATGCAGAGCCACAAGCAGGGGTAGCTCATGGATGGGTAGCCAGGCTGCTCTTACGACATTTAAAATGCAAAGCCACAGTGGTGCAGATGCAGCGAGCCAGGACTGTCAGTCCCAACTCATACTACGTCCAGCAGCCCCGATTTACAGTGGCCTGGGCTGGCTGCAGGCAGAGGCAGCTACCGGGACCAGCTCCTGCCTGTGGCCAGCCCGGGCCGGCTACTTCGCAGCAGCAGCCGCCTGTCGTGTGTGTGTGCGCACGCACGTGTCCCAGCTCCCAGCTGGGAGACCCTGCAGACAGGGGATGCTGTCAGAGCAGCCTCCGCTACCCCATCCCGCTGCTGCTGCCAATAGAGGCAGCTGGGGGGGGTAGAGGACAGGTGGCACCGTGGAGATGGTGCTGGGGGAAAACCAGCTTTTAAGCCAGCTCCCGCCAACACCAGCTCCTGTTTCCACCCCACATTGCTGTCTCTGATACAGATGCAGCAGGGGGTGGAGGAGTGAGTAGTTTTATCAGGTAGTAGAGTACTAGCTTATATCCTTAACATAAAATCAATTATATTTATGCACAGAGAGTCCTCCCAAATGCCAAGAATCTTTTACTTGCTTTATTTTCCTTGAAAAGATGTTTTACAAACTCAACTGTTCAAAGGGAACATGAAGAGGTGTGAAACTATGAACACTGAGACAGATAAAAACATGCTGAAATCTCTGTATGGGAACTGACATATTTCCCCCAGCCAGCAATCACTACTTGTACATTTGCACAGGTTTGTTTCATTAATTGTCAAACACTCAACTCAAAAGATAAATTAAGAAATTCCCAGCAAGTCCAATACATTTTTGAAGTCATATGTAATCCTTTTTAAATACTAAAATGGGGCAGGATTGTAGAAACATCTCATTACCTTTGCAACATGAAATAATCAAAATTACAACATTCAGCATACTGGGGTCCTTTCATTCTAAACTGGTAACCTATTAGCCTTTATAAAAATGTCCACCACACCCCTCAAAACTATTTGTTCTCATGATTTTCCATGCAGAGTCAGTAGCATGAAGATTAGATATGACTTCTATCAGCAGAGAAGCACAACAAGTTAGGACTCTCACCTGGG